GATGGCAGCTGCTGCAGGCACCGGCGCCGCATCCCTCACACCAGACAGGAAGAGACTTTTAGGGAATAGGAGGGCAAGGGCTGAGGCTGGCGCAAACCCGGATGCTCCCGGTGTCACTGCAGGCACTGAAGTGCAGCACCAGCCCTTTGCATCCTTCATAGAACCAGGCTGGGATGGGTTGAAGGGACCTTAAAGCTCCTCCAGCTCCAACCCCTGCCACGGGCAGGGACCCCTTCCACTGGAGCAGCTTGCTCCAAGCCCCTGTGTCCAACCTGGCCTTGAGCACTGCCAGGGATGGGGCAGCCACAGCTTCTCTGGGCGCATCACTTTGTTCACCCAAACCCCATCTGTTCCCCCCCGCAGTGACAGCACCACAACCCTTGCTCACCCCTGCGCTCATCCAACCCCAATGTGAAGCCAGGAAACCATCCTGCTCCCATCAGGGACACAGAATGGACTTGGAGGCTCACTGAGGGGATCACCCCTTGCGGCTCCTCTGTGGGGCAGGCAAGGTGAGGGGCTGGGCTGGACCTCCCATCTTCCCATCACCCCATGGCCCAATGGGACAGCCCCCAGTGCTGGCTGCCCCAGCACCAGATGCCCATGGAAGCGTCACGCTCCAGCATCTCCCTCCACCACCGAGGCTATAAATAACCCCTCCGAGCGTCACCGCAGAGACCTCGTGTTGCTCCCGCTGTTGTGGTGTTGCCATGGCAAAGCCAGGCAACAGGATGTGACACCCGGCTCCACCAAGAGCCAGCCTCAACCGTAACAAGGAGAGAGGACGTGAACTCACCGGCAGCCACAGGCACCCCCCGGCCACGGCGTGGTCCTCAGTGCGTGACCTCCTGCAGCTCTGCGGATGCAGATGGGGGGGGAGAGATGCTTTGATGAGCAGAGAGAGCATCGTCCTGAGCATCACCTGGGAGAAGTGGATGCGAGGAGCTCACAGCAAGGCTCTGAGCCCAAAGCGATGCTGGCTCCAGGACTGACTGATCCAAGGGCCTCGGGAACACGCTGCAGCCGGGTCGCTGTTGTCTGCCTGAGCCTGAGCCCTGGTGCGAGGCTCAGCACAAGCTCCAGCCCTGCTGGGGTGAACCCCCACGGGGTAAGGCTGGGAGCACGCACCCCTCCCCTGCTCTCCATCACGTCCCAGCCTCAATGCACATCCGGGCAGCTCTGGAAGGCCCTGACACGAAGCCAGGAGCTCCAGCTCAATGCAGGGTCTCCATCCTTGCCCAGGGGAGCATCAGACACCAGCTCCAGCTCCCGCAGCAGGAACCTGCCCGTGCGGCTCCAGACCCTGCTCCCGCATCGGGGGCAGAGCCGCAGCTGCACCAGGGATGCTGTTGGGTGTAAACCCACCAAACCCTGCACAAACCCACCCCAGGGCTCCCTCTCCATCCCCTCCAGGCTGTTTTCCCAGCTGGGGACCTGCTGCCCCTGTGGGTCCCCGCGGGGCTGTGGGTGCAGCCGGAGAGGTGCTGGGGACAGGAGGCACCATCAGCCACACGTGGTGCCCCAGTGATGGTGCCAAATCCAATCCAAATCAGCCCCAACCGCCCCGAACCCCACCAGTGCTGGTGGGGTTAATGACTCCTTGAGGCAAGGGGCTGCCAAGGGAAACACGGACACGTTCCTGCCCGGAACAGCTCCGAGCAGGAGCAATCCCCCCAGCACCAGGCTCCTCGCAGGCTCCGGAGGCAGATGCTCAGTTTGCCTTTAAAGGCAAAACGTGGATGCCCGGGAAGGGCTGGTCCCAGCTCGGGTGGATCCGGGAGCAGCAGCATGGGGCAAAGCGCCGCATCCCAGAGTTTAGCTCTTGGCTTTCCCACTGGGAACGTGACCAGAGCGGGGCTGCGGGAATTAACCCCTCCTGTCCCTGTGGCCCTCTCCAAACCAGCACTGTTCCACGTGCCACAGGCAGGGCTCAGCATGGAGCAGGCAGTCAGAACGGCAGCAGCTTCTCCTCAGCCCCATCCTGGGCTCTCCCCGAGGTGGGACTCACACGTTCCAGTTGCACTCCTGCCTCCAGGAACCGTGTATCCCGATTTCATTCCCTTCTTTCCCCCCTTATAAAACCCCCCCGCGTGACCCTGTGCCGCAGCTCGGGTGCATTTCCAGTGCTCGCCATCCCAGCGAGGCAGCTGCACTGCAAGGACACAGCCGAGAGGGACAAGGGACAAAGGCACCTCCTGACCTGGCCTTCAGGGTGACAGAGAACAGCCGGGACCCCAGCAATGGGACCGGATGGGAGGAGAGGACACGGGAAGAGCGGCGGCTGCTGCTGGGAGCACGCGGGGTGCGTTCGGTCCTTCCCACGTCCCCAAACGCCGCAGGGCTCGCTCAGAAAGGAGAACGGAACAAAAAGGTTTATTTCTCTTTCCTCACAAGAAGCACAGAAAACGTACATTTTACACCCAAAAGGTAAAAAAAAAAAAAAAAAAAAAAAAAAAGTGCATTATGCCTCGTACAGTACAAAAGATGCTGCTCGTTTCGATAGAAAACCAGGCTTCAGAAACACCATGAAGTCAAAGGAACGGCTGTTAGCAGAGTACAGCACCCGAACAGCCACAGCATCACCCACCCCTCCTCCGGGGGCAGGACCAGGATCACCTCCTGGGGGATGCCTACTGCTACCACCCAGCCCCAGGCTGGACCAGCTGCCTGGCAGGCAGGGACAGGGTTTGGGTGCGCAGCCGGGGCTCCGCGTCGGGGCCATCCCCCTGGATCCCCCATCCCGTTCCAATGCATAGATCAACCAGGAGCACTGGGAGCTGGGGGGGGCAGCAGTGGCACACGCAGCCCTTTGGTTGCACCGGGTACAGGGCAGGGGGAAGCGGGGTCGGCAGCGCTCTCGCTGCCGCCCGAAACACCGAAAGCACCGGGACACAAAGAAGAGCAAGCAGCAGAGTAAGAGCTCAGCACGAACACAGTGTTTGTAAACCAGGGTTAAGGCACTCCATCGGGAAGGAACAGTTACGCCACGCGGGAGAGGACGAACACAGCTACCTCCTCATGCAACAACGCTACCGAAGCCTGCACGCGCCCGCGCTTCGGCTACAAACCCATCCCAATGGCACACGGGTGCTGCCCGAGCCCCTCAACTGAGCCTCTATCCAGGGCTGGGGTTGGTCCAGGCAGAGCCAAGCCAACGTGGGCAGAGCCCAGGGAAGCAGTGGTTTATGCGCAGCACCCAGCAGGCACTGGAGGGAGCAGGGAGGAAAGATGCACGTTGGCGTGCATCAGGTTACGGAATCCTTCCGCAGTTATCCCAACCCAGCTCTCCCAGTGGCCGGGCAGCAATGGGAAGCGGCTGTAGTTTAACACAGAGCAGAGAAAAGCAACCCTGCCATCAGCCATGGTAAGCCGAGGAGAGGGATGAGGCCATGCTGGGAGCAGGAGGCACAAAGACCCTCGAGGTGGCTGCTCCCAGCCCTCCAAGGGGGCCCCCTTCATGCGTGGGAATCCGGGAGGGAACAAGGGCAGGAAAGATGGAGCAGATACAGGTTTATTGCAGCAGATCTGGACGTGCAGCCGTGGAGCACAGGGTTTCCACTCTGAACACGACCCAGCATCTTCTCAGCCCCAGCAGCAGACTCATGGGCCCTGTCCAGCAGCTCCTGCCTCAAACCAGCTCCCAAGGGTGGAATGGGGAGGACGCCTCAAGCTAGGAATGCACATCCAATTCCAGCCCCTTTAAGAAGGGACATTCATCCGACCGCAGCCCTGGCAATTCCTCACACTTAATGCAAAGAGGTAGGGCACTGAGGACACCAAAAGCACAGAGCTCCCTGGCTGGAGCCAGGGCACTTCTGATTACCAGAGGCTCAGCACCCACTGCCGCAGCCCCGTGAGCCCCACCTCAAAGAGGGGATGTTGAGAATGGCTTCCGATGGGGATGTGGAGTCGTGGGGAGCTCACTGGGGCTCGGCGAGCACCCAGGTTTGGAGCACGATCCCTGCCATGCTTCTCAAGTCTTCCCCCCTGACCTGGCCACGTCTGGCACGGAGCAGCTGAGCACCACGAGCACCTCCATGAGGGTTAGGGCTGCTTCCCTCCTTCGTGTGAAGGGAGATCCCACCGCCACCTCCAACATCCCCCTCTCACTGCAGCCACCCAGGCTCCTGGAAACACCCCCCCAGGCTTCCCAAACCCGGGACACGGGAACCGTTCTACCAAATCCAACAGGAGAGACACGATCACCGACTGCAAACACGTGGGACACCAAGGAGCAGCCCCTCCACAGCGCGTCCCCACAGCCCCACGAGGGGTCCACGACACTGACACAGCATCACACAAAGCTTCACGAGGGTCCACGGTCACTCACTGGCCAAGCTCATCGTTAGCACTGGGACATTACAGACGCCGTGACAGCAACACCACCCCACGAACACCACCCCGCTCCACGGTGACAGTGACACAGCACCAACGCAAGGCTGTGACAACCAGGTCACAGAGTCAACACGAACACGGCTCAATGCTCCTTCACTTCACAGCCAGGAAAGCCTCTGTCTCCTGTGGGCCTTTCCAGCTCCCATCAAGGGAATCCCTTCAAACAATGGAAGTGCTGTGGGAAAAGCCTTTAAAAAAGACAAACGACAACCCAAGACTCCAAGTCAGCAGGATCAGAGGTAGTGTTCGTGTCGCCACTGTAAGGAGTTTTCCACAAGTGCCCTGTTTTCACTGGAGACTTGTGTTTGTTCTGTAAGAAGTCGTGACTGATTCTTCTGAGTCTTTGAAACAGAGCATTTCAGCATTTCCTATATATATAGATAGATAAATAGCACGGTATCTATCTATATACACACACAAACCCACATTATTATAGTTGGCAAACAGTACTAGGAAGAGCATCCTGCAGGACAACGGGCAATTCACACACAAGGTCCTCTTCTAAGCCATGCAATACGTTTTATTTTCCCTTGTGCCATTCACCATGACCCAGTATGGGTTTTCTTTCTCTCCCCACTTAAGAGTACAAGGGGGGGGACGGGGACGAAGACGTGGCATCAGACGAAGCACTGCAGCTCAGATGTCAAACTGCATCTGTGCAATGAATAAACGCCATGAAGCCCTCAAAACCCCCTGCGCCCCCCACGGAAGGCATCAACTTTTGCCCATCCAGAGCGTGTTCTTCAAGTTCCCAACCGCTGGCTTCGCTGCCAGCTTGGAGGTGACGTCTGCACCCCTGAGCGTGGATTGTGGCTCACAGAGCACGGAAGACTCGCTGGAAACGGCCTCCTTGGAGTCCGTTACGGTGGACACCTCCATGTCACTGGCTAAGTCCTCAGAGGACAAGTTCAGACACCCCAGCTTGGCGAGGGAGTTGGACCTTTTCAGAGGGGAGGACACAGTCAAGCCCGCCAGCCGCAGCCTGGTCTCGATCTCCTGAGTCCGCTGCTTCACGAGGCCGGGCTTGCCCCGCACGCTGTGGATGCTGTCGCTGCTGGAGCTGCGCGTCAGGTTGGAGCTGCGGGAGGAGGACGGGGTGTAGCAGATGGTCTTGAGGAAGTCCTTGGTGAAGCTGCTCGTGTGCTCCAGGCGGCAGGCCACAGGCGTGGAGGTCTTCTGGGAGATGCCCTCCGAGCCGCGCTTCACCTCCGCCTTCGCCGCGTTGTGCTCCGCATCCTCGGGCATCAGCGGCGCTGGTCCCAGCAGAGGCACGAGGGTGGGATGTGAAATCAGATCCTCGCTCTCCTCCATGATGCCGGAGTCCACCCTGCTCAAGGGGCTCTCTCTGAGCAGGGATGAGGCGTCCGAGGGCAGGCTCTTCAGCCGCTCCAGCTCTTTGGTGTGCTTCCTAACCAGACCTGCCTTCTGCAGCTGGATAAGAGACTCCTGATGCTGCATCAAGTAACTGTTTGCACTTGGCTTTTCCAAGTCTTTACTGAACAAGTACTTCAGATCCTTGGTAGGTTTGCTGTCTTTTCTGGCTAGAGACTCCTCTTTTACCACTTCCACGTTAAGGAGGCTCTTGTCACAGTGTGAGTTTCTCCTGGGCAGAAGAGTTTTGACCGGAGTTTTTGGTGCATCCTTTCCCTTCTCCAAAACACTGCAGTGCTGATCAAGTGATTTGCCAGCCCCAGCCTCCAGAGCACCAGTTCCTGCCGACAGAGGAAGCGGAGCCTCGTTGGTTCTAGTTCTGATTGCCTCCTCCAAGCGTGCCTTGCTGGGCAGGTGCTCTGCCAAGTTGGAGTTGATGTGGGAGAGGAAGGCTGGCTGCGTGCAGATGGTGGCAGTGCTGCGACGCATGGTGCTGGAGTTCAGCCTCTCACACTGCTCCCCAAAGGAATCTGGAGACAACCCAGCTGAGGAATACATGCAGTCAGTGCAGGACTGGTAGGAAGGCTTCACCTTACTGAGGATCCCAAACACGGCATCGTGCTGCGAAAGAGAAAAGAGGTATAGGTAAAGGCGCACAGAACCGGACATCGGCCATCAGAAGAGAGGCGCAGAGCACAGGATATAATTACAGCCAAGCACACTGGAAACAAAGCCCATTTCCACTTCTCTTAAGGCCCTGCAGCAGACACAAACACCACTTACTTTCTCAGCAGACAGCATCTCCAATGGAAGAATACCTACCCGTCCAAGTGATGGTCATGCAAGTTGCCCCAAGCGGTTTACAGGGCTCTCGCATGCGTGCGCTCCCTCTCTGGTATCTAACTCCATAGCTTGGGCAAGCAAAGCCATGTTCAGAAGCACTTCGAAAAGGAAGCGGCTCATCATGGAATGAAAGGCTTTATCCGAGTCAAATGAAACTGTGCTACGAAGATGAGAAGAGCAGTTTCACTTGCAGCAGAGTCAGCCTCAGCCACGCTAATCACCTCCGTTTCACCTCCATACGCACCTCAAAATCCTCTGGGCAGCTCCTTTTGCTGTTGTTGTTGTTCAAGTTCTCTCTGTTAAGCCTGCTCTCCTCCTTGTGCATGGACAAGCGCCGCTTCCACTTCTCCATTGGGTTTTCCTCCCTGACAACGTCCTCCCTGTGGTCCCCAGGGCCCAGCACCATCCTTGCCTTCCGGGGGCTGAAATCCAGCTTCTTCTTCACCTCCTTCTCACAGAAGCTGCTCATCTCTGCCAGCGGCTCCGCGGTCTCCAGGGCTCTTGCTGTCTCTAGCATCCTCCCCTCTGACGGTGCAGATGGCTGCTGGGACAGCAGCGAGGCAGCGCGCTCCGCAAGCACATCCCGCTCCAGCTCCTCCACGGGGAAAAAGCCCTCTCTGTCACCGGGAATCTTGTTCTCCAGCAGCGTGTCCGAGAGGCGGCGGAAGCAGTAGTTGAAGCCCACGGGCACGTCGGTGCCGGCGCGGTTGTCCAGGTACGCCGACTGCGAAGGCATGTCCAGGTCAGCCAGGCGGTTCTCCAGGTCGATGTCCAAGCTCTCGAGGAGGAAGTCGCTCGACCCCGTGGTGCCGTCTGTGTTGGGGGGCAGGTTGCTCTCTGCCTGCTGCTTCCACAGCTTGTTGTGGCGCTGCTTGCTGGGGAGAGGGGCAAAGACACAAGCGACCATCGTCACACTGGAGGATGCTCAGCTCCGGGCACATCCCTCCCTGTCCGCAAGCCAGGACTGAAATGATGACCCCTGGGGCCAGCCCAGTCCCACCTGGACAAAGCCATCTTCAGCATCAGGGTTTAGTCCCTCCTGCCTGCCCACTCCAAGGTATCTTTAACCCAGCAGACTCACAGCCCTGCACTGCACCCAAACAGGAAATGCCCTTCAGGGCAGAGGGGCACAGAGCCCTTCATCAGAGCAAACCCCCCTGAACCAACATCTCTGCACGTCTCACGGCACAGCTTCTGATGAACTGGAGTGACAAATCTTCCTCTCCTTCCCCCAGCAGAGCAGAGGCCAAGTGGAGCACGCAGAAACCCTTGTTAGATACAACAGCGCTCAGGATGACAAAGACTTGTGGCTGGCATGGTCACCCAGACCTGCAAATGATTTGCTTCCCACACTGCCCGAGCTCAGTTCTGCCTCATCACCCAAGAACAATGTTTTGCTGAACAGCCCTGGCTGCTGAGGAACACAAACACACTTCCCACACGCAGAGGGACCCGCACTGCATTAAACCAGAGCAGAGCTCCCTGGAAGACAGCTAATTTTCACCCAGGGAGGCCTGGCACAGAAAGGGTTTGGGAAAACACCATTAGCCCAGGCTTCTGCAGCTGCCCTTCTAAATGGGACCCTTCAGACCATAGCACTGCGGAGTCTGAGCACCAAATCACATGGTTTGTGATATGAAAACATGAGGATGCCTAAAATTGGCCCCCTCACTCCCTGCCAGTCACCTTTCTGTTCCTCCTGGCGCCTTACCTCGCATCTAAAATGCCTTCGTACTCCAGCAGCTGCCTCATGAAGCCTGCGTTCGGCCTCGCAATGCTGCGTTTCTGCTTCACGTAGTTGTAGGCCTTTTCCAGGGACCAGCCAAACTCCTTCATCGCGTAGGCGATGACGGTGGATGCCGAGCGGCTCACACCCATCTTGCAGTGCACCAGGCACTTGGAATGGTTCTTCCTGCAGGAGGGCAAACAGGAAAACACCTCTCACTGTCTGGTTACGGTATCGGCTGTTACACAGTGCAGGGAGAGCGCCATGTCCTCCTGAGCACCCCAGCACTGTGGATCAGGTTAGAAACCTTGTGGGGTTAAGTGAGCCACAAGAGGAATCTCTCTCCAGAAGTTAGGGAAGGGCAGCCTCGGTCATGCTGCCACTTGAGGGATCACCAGGAAGCCTCCCTGCCTGCCCAAATCTTTGGATACAGGGAGAAGCAGGAACAACCCGAGTGTAGAAGCCCAGCAGGGTTTGATGGGCTCTGTCACCATCTCTTGCCTGCAGAGACGGCGGGGGCTAGTCCAACACGGACATGGGTTGGAGCATTTCCAGAGCCTGGGAAGGGAAAATATCCTTGTTCCTTTCTGTTAATAACAATAATAATAAAGTATCATCAGCCAGGAGCAGGGTAATGCCAGTACAGGAAGAGACAAGGGCCAGGGAAGTTCCAGGAACGCATCCTCCCCGGATTCAAGAAGGATTCAGCCCCATGCTGGATGAAGCACAGGGGGCATGGCTCGGATGTGTCCTCCCACAGGTCACAGTCCCCAGCCCACTCACTTGGCCTTGTTTATGAAGTGGTAGGCCTCGTTCCAGTGAGCCAGGAGGTCGGTGGTCTCCTCGTCGTACACGCGGATGTTGTGATAGGCGAACAAACCAGGGAAGAAGTTATCAATTTCCCTGGTCACATTCAAGATGTAGTCAATGCTGCGGAGAGCACAAAGAAAACAGACCTGAAATGGCACGGCTGTGAAAGAGGAGCTGATGCACATTGTGAAGACCTTGAAGTATCCCAGAATCCCAGCCTGGTTTATGGTGGAAGGCACCTTAAAGCTCCTCCAGCTCCAACCCCTGCCACGGGCAGGGACCCCTTCCACTGGAGGAGCTTGCTGCAAGCCCCTGTGTCCAACCTGGCCTTGAGCACTGCCAGGGATGGGGCAGCCACAGCTTCTCTGTGCTACTGAGCAACGTTTCTGAGGTTCTCACCTCATGCTTGGTGTGTGCCTTGGGCAAGCAGCAAATATTTCTATGCTAAATTCTCCCTCAGCCAAAAAACATGAAAGTCAATGAAGCCAAGTGGTGGTGTGGTGATGAGAGCGTGGTGACAGAGCCCTGCACTGCCTGCCCGGGCAGGTGAGCTGGAGATTGCTCATCCACAGGAAGCTCTGCTCCATTCAGACAGAGTTTTCCCCTCAGCTTAGTGCTGTACTACTTGCTGTTCTGTAGCCTGCAGGAATTCACACCCGACTCAACATCCTGGATGGACATTTCACACTCAGCTGTTACCCGCTGGAGGGGTATCAGAGATCTTGATGTGCTTCACGAATGACAAGTTTGCTTATTTTCACTCCACATGTTATTGATAGGAATAAGATAGGAAAGATTTCCCCACCAAGCAGCTGATGGTAAGTTACCCATGTTATTGAGAATAGGCCCAAACTCATGCCCCTGCTGTCTACAAACTTCATATGTCATCTCAAGAGGCCTGAGCATAAGTTAAAAGCAAACAGCTGGAGTTACTTGGTGTTTGGAAGGTCAGTACTCACCCTGAGCCCTGCAGCTCCTCGAGGTTGGAGGCATTCCACTCGGAGCCCTGCAAAGCCACAAAAGACACATTTCAAAGGAGCACAAGAGCATCCCCGTTTTCCTCAGGTTCTGCAATGCCCCACCCCGGGCCATCTTCCTTAGCTGAAACACTGGGAACAGCCTCTGGAATATGGCACAGGGCAGGCAGTGCTGCTGCTCAGCACAGAGAGGTCCTGTCTGACAGGCATTACACCCTCCCTTAAGGAGGCCAGTGTGTGTGACTGAGCACATTTCAAATCACTGCCCCTGCCCACTCTGGATTTTTAAAGACAGACATAAATAGTGCAGGGAGAGCTACGTGTGGCATGACTGGGATCACAGTACATGAGAAGGGAGGCAAATCCTGAAAGCTCTGTGGGTGGTTATAACTTAGGTGTCCCCCCCCTCTATCTGCAAACCAGGAAGCTAAAAAAGGGGTTTAAAAGCAGGTTTTGCTCTCAGACACGAGCATTTCCTCTGCCTCTCTCCAGAAGAGCAATAAAAAAAGACCCAAGCATAACGGGCACAAATGTGCTCATCTCCAGCAAGTCTTTGTTCCAGATGGCAGTGCCTGGTTTTGCTTGGAGTACCATCTAGTGGCAAAAGATCAGATGAAACAGACCGTCCTTCTCTTCTGCACGAGTTGGGACATCACCTTCAGCCTCAGTCTTTACATAGCTCTGGCCATGCCACAGAACCTCATAGGCTTAGTCAAGATGCAGTGACCCTAACCAGAGCCCAAGAGCAAACGGCTGCGGTCGGAGCCAGGCCTTTTGTTTGCTGTAAAAGAAAAATCTCCATTGCTAGAAATAGAAAATGAACACGCACAGAGACAGGATCAACCTGCCAGGAAAAGGATTCTGTCAAGGCCTAGAGTCAGTAATACAGCCAGAATAAAGGGCTCATGGAGCACAACTCAGCCTTGACACCAAATTCAGCTTCCTCTAAGCCCAACTCACTGCCACTGAGCCTCTTGCTACGCTAGAGCTCCAAGCCCAGCAGCTTACCAGGTATAAATGATCAAAAATGAGAGATGGTTTGTCCATCTGACCCAGGATAAGCAGCATTTCATTGTCTATGAATTCCTTGAATTCCTTCAAGTTGCAGTTCATGTGTTTCTCCAGCTCATTTCGGATCTGCAGAGCAGGAAACAAAGGATGCCACCTAGAATCACATCTGTTCAATAGAAACACCTGCAAGGAGTGAATAACAGCAGCAGCACTGGTGAAGAGAGATTTTCAGTGCTCTCCCATTTCAAAACACCAGGGCATGGACATAACAGCCCTCTCCCTGCCCCTCAGCTTCAGGAAGGGGCAAAGCAAAGCAGCACAACTTTGTCTGATCCACCATGGAAAATTCCTGCAGGAAAAATCAAAGCATCTTGACTGCACCAAGCAGGAACACGTACACAGACTGAGGAGTTCTCAGCTTACGCCTACAACTTGTAGCACTGCTGTTACACAAGAGAGTAGCTGAAGCCTTCATTGCTAAGCTTAGGGAGGAAAGCCCTGCATGTTAATAGCCTGCCTTGGAAAACAAAACCCAAACCCCAAAGAACCATTTCCATTTGCCTGGAATCTGCCTGCACTGCGGCTGGCCGTATTTACACCAGCCTGTGGGATGGACCCAAGCTAGCTTAAGCCTTGACTTGTGATTTTCCATCCATAAACCCACTAGCAAAATGCTGTCTCTGCAAGCCCCTCTGACACTTGTTCAGGAACAAAGAAGACAAAACCTTAAAATGAAGCCAAGGGAGAAAGGAAGGCTCATACTCTGCTCTGCACTGCCCACGAGCAAGTGGAGATGGCTCATCCAACACAGCTGCGAGGCCTCCAGCCACCAGCTGCAGCTTTTGGGAGTGCTGCCTTTGCTTGTGTCATCTGAGGGATGCATCGAGGAGTAAGTGTCTATAAAGTCAGTGCTTGGGCATGCCCACCACTGTTACAACCCAACTGTCACGGGAGGCATCACCTCCAGTGTCACCTGGCTGGCAAAGAACCAGGCACTGTGAGCTGGTTGCCACACACTTGTTACTAAGGTTGTGAAAAACGACATGGATGTGGCATTACCCCGATTGCCCTGCTGGGAAAGAGGGGAATAGCAAAGCCAAAGAGCAGAGCCTTTCAGATACACACTGAGAAACCAGTGACACCTTGGCATATGGTGTCTCTTCAGCAGTGCAGCACTCCCTGGAACAGCAGTCTAGTAGGAAGAATGAGATAGCAGGAATTACATTTACCTCCTTGGAAGTGACATTTTCCAGGTCTTTGCTCATCATGATGCTCCGGAGTTTGGCTTTAATGAGCCGTTCTGTTCGTTCCCTTTCAGTTGGCCTGGAAAGGCAAAGGAGAGGATGTTGTCTCCAAGCTGGCAGCAAACCCACGCTGCAACTCAAGCAGTGCAGGAGCGGTGGGAAAGACTTGGATTAAAAGTGATTTTTATGGGAATAATGGAAGAAAAGCATTAAGACTTGGAGAAAAGAAAGGAAAGGAACCACTGGAGGAAGAAGAGAGAAAAGGGAGATTCCTCTCATGAGCAAGGCCAGCTTCTAATGAAATGCAGAACTAACTTGTCAACAAACAGTGCTGGTGAGTCAGGGCGGGTGGATTCCAGGTCCTGCATCGCATTCCACTCGTTGATGCAGCTCTGGTCCGAGCTGATGCAGCTTTCGTAGTAGGTGGCCCACACCAAGGCCACCCCGCCTGGGAAGTAGTTGTATCTCCTTGCCACCTCACAGGCTTTGTGGAGGATCTGTAGAGCGGACCTGCAAGTTTGGAGAATGAATTTGTGCAGCTGTGAGCAGCAGGGGCAGACAGAGCAGGATGTGAGCGATTATCACAGAGAAAATCAAGACTTTCAGCAGTTGGTTACAGTTTGCTTTGTGAAAGCAGCAGATTTTTTGTATCAGAGTTCAAAGAGGGCACAAACTGGCCCTTGGAGACCTCCTCAAGAGCCGGTCCAAGGCAGAGGCCAAATCTTGTCCTGATTAACACGCAAGCCCAAGGCACAAGTCGCTCTGGGATTTAATCATTAGTTAACTTGTGAAACCAGACCAAAGGAAAATAAAGAACATGGACAATTTTCAAAGCACCTTCAGCAAGGAGTCAGATGCACATTCACCAGCATTCTTGGCCCCTGACATGCTCTGGGGACAAGGCCCAGATTGGGTCATTTGTTTTTGCACATTCTAGCATTACTTTTTCCTTCCTTCCCTCCTCATACTTTTCTCTTTTTAAGGTTCTTACTCCAAAGATGTCATTGTACTGAACACATCAACCACATCTGAGGCTGCCAACAGGAGGGGCCGAGTTCAAAAGTGACAGGAACAAGAGTTGCATTTGTTTCTGTACCCAATCGTCCCTAGCACGACACCCTTCTCTACATCTGTATCTTTTCCCTATCAGATGCAGCAAAGTGAGGGATCTCAGGAGGCTCCAAGAGGAGGCAGCCAACTGCCCAGGCCAAGAGAGATGCGTTTGTTCTGCACGGGGATGGGGAGCAGCCTCTTCAAGGAGGAATTTGCTGGCAGAGCTGCTGCTGATTCAGCCACCTCTGCTGCAGTGGTTTGGAATCCCTGCACGAGGGAGGGGTGACAGGAGCTGAAAGGTGAACAAGCACCCGGGGTAGAAAGTTTCCATGTGGCAGGAGCCCCAGCAACGAGGCAGAACATGGGGAATGCCATCGGATTGGCAATGGGTCCTGAGGCTCCTCCTTCAGCCAGTCAGGAACACGCAGAGAGAGAAAAGACTGGGTTTGCAGCCTGATGGCTTCAAGGTGGTCTTGCATATTTAGTGCCACTGAAGAGCCCACAGCTGCTCTGAACAAGCAGAAGATCCTGGTTTCGGATCAGTATTCTTAGTCCTTTACAGCACTGGTACCTGTTGGCACAGGGAAGCAGCCTCTCTGCTGCAGCTCACTAAACACCAATTACAGACCGTGCTAAAATGCAGTTTGGTTTTAATTTACTCACATAAACGAGTCTCTTTCTCAAGAAAGCCAATGAACACACGTACCACATGGCTTGCACCGACACAGGCTTGAAGATGTGCATCCTCCCTGCAGTGCTCACGCTGAAGCCACTAACAGAGAGAGGCAAAACCCAGCATCAGAAACTGCTCCTCACAAGCTGCACTCTACAAACAGCTATTGCAAGGGGCACTTAGGGTCATAAAGGATCAGGGATGAGAATTTGTACCATGGATTTTCCAACATCCTCCCAGGTAAGAATGGCAAGTGGACACCCTTCCCAGGAATGGGAGTTCAGAGGGTATTCACTGGGTTCCACAGGTTACACAAAGCAACTTAAGGGCAGCAAGACAGAATCCTCACTGTCTGAATACGAGGACTGCAGCCGTGAATCCAAAATTGGAACTTCATTTGCAAGGTGACAGAGAATCTCTCCTTGAGCAGCCCCAAGAAGGGAAGGACAATCGCATTTATCATTTTAATGTGGTTTCTTACCCATCACCATCAAGATGGATTTTAGTGTCGCTCCACAGCCGAAGAACCATTCCTATGGTGCAGCTCTTACTGGAAGAGAGGTTGTTACACAGGATGTTAAATATAGGCCACAATGAGGTCACGCCAATACCCTTAATTATTAATACTCTTTAATTTTTAAAATCCTCAAGTCTTGCTCTAGTAATTCCTAGTAATGCCTCAGGCCATCAAAGGCACGGCACAAGGAGACCGGCAGCTGAAGGCTGAGGGTTTACTCTGCTATGAGCCTGCTGATTGCTCCACAGAGCTGGAGAAACACCACAGCAGCAAGGATCAGTTTCCAGCTCTTCCACTCCAGAGCCTGCCAGAAAGCTCCGCAGCGTGAGCCCCATCACCTCTCCTGCTCCCATCACCACAAGCCCAGTGCCAGGCGGCTCCCTAGCAGGACACAGGAGCAGATCTCCGGGATCTGGCTGCAGAGGCTCAGCTCAAAACGCAGCCCTGGGAGGTGGCAGAGCAGCTGCCTGCCTGCTCCAGAGGGGACCCCAGGGGCCTTTCAGGGTGTTCGATTTCCACTTCATCACTCGGGCTGGTAGAAAAGATTTTATGACTTTACCTACCCCAAATGAACACTTTTCATTTCAGTCTGGCAAGAAAACGGAGCTATAATGGGGGCCAGTAACTTCAGATAGTAAATAATTAAGTGACTGAGATATTAAAGGAAATTGGGATGCAGACAGCAAGAGCCAGTTAAAGAACTCAGGTTTTGTTCTGTTCTTTTCCATTTTTAAGCCTTTAGCTCCTTTCTACAGCAGGCAAAAGGATCTGATAGACCCACTGAATGCATATGTGGACAATGTGCACTGCAGAGCTCCGCAAGAGAAAGTGGGTTTTATTACACATATGTAAAAGGAATAAAGCCCACAAAAGCACCTGACTAGTCCGACTGTCAGCAGTGAGGACACTTACAGCTCAGCAGTGACATTTCAGCCCCAGCACAGAGCCATGGAGTGGCTTCACTCAATGAAGTCACTGATGCCAACTGACTTCTTTATGCACAGGACTTGCCCTTAATTAACAAAAGCCTGGGCTTTCAGGGGGACATGGCAGCAAACCTCACAGTTAGGATGGATTTGTCACAACTTTTCCACCTTTCCTCTCGTCTCCATAATCATCAGCAAATTATTGCAAGGCTGGGTCAGGTCTGAAGATGACAGCAACATCCACTGTGCCATAAGGAAATACTACATTAGAGTTCCCTCCCTAGCACTAACAGGAGTAATTTAAACACAGATATAAGAGGCAGCAGCACCAATGACAATAATCTCATTAGGAAGGCACAACCAGGAGTTTCCCTGCAAGGGGTAACGGGTTCAAACTGAAACAGGGGAACTTTAGATTGGATCTAAGGAGGAAATTCTTTCCTGTTAGGCTGGTGAGGCACTGGAATGGGTTGCCCAGGGAGGTTGTGAATGCTCCATCCCTGGCAGTGTTCAAGACCAGGTTGGATGAGGCCTTGGGTGCCATGGTTTAGTTTGAGGTGTCCTTGCCCATGGCAGGGGGGTTGGAACTGGATGATCTTAAGGTCCTTTCCAACCCTAACTATTCTATGATTCTATGTCTCCCAGCAGAGCAAAAGCTCCCCCGTTCCACTTACAGCCACTAAGGTTTTCCAGAGGAAAAACAAACCCCACACTGGCTGCACCAGCACAGCATGGCAGCCTGCTAAACCACTGGAGAACAGGAACAACAGGCTGGAAGCTCTGCCAAGCCAGCCCCATGTCTCTGAGCCAAGAGCTTTTCTGCCTTGGTTTGCTCACCTACAACTGGAATAATGTGAGAGGGGCTGTGATAACACAATATTTTATTTGCCTTTCAAAGTCCTACGTGCTCTTATCAGTTGGACAAAAGCAGCAGTTCATTACTGACACATTTGTTTGTTGGTTTTGGAGGTACTTCTGCAGTATTGTTTTTTGGCAACTAAGCTACCCACCCAAAAACCCCATTGCTTCATAGCATCAACAGACTTGAAGTCTGGGGGACAGAATAAGTTCCAGTTTTTAAATGTGGCTGCAAGAGCATTCTGAAGTGAGCACGCAGCCAACTACCACAGATGAGGTAGGTACCAGCCCTACAGATGGATTACACGTGAACACTTAGCCTGCAAGTGTCCAGAGATTCCAAGGAGACTGAAAGCTTTCTGGATCAGAAATCACCCTCCCATCCCCGTACCTGGTCAGAAGACTCAACACATCTCCTTTTCTCTTGCTAGAGTTTGCAGATCACACATAAACCAACTGCTTGGGGACAGAGAGCCCAGCCTGCCCCATTTCCAAGCCCAGCCTCGCCTCGGACATACCTCTCCTTGCTGGAGAAATCCACACCCAGCAGGATGTTCTCTTCCGTGTCCTGCCGCCCGCTGCTGTACACGACCACCATGTACCGCACGCGGTCTGTCCACACGCTCTCCAACCGGACAGCCTGGGGAAAGGTCAGCAAGCTCTGCAAACACCTCGTGGATAAGCATTACCTCCACTGCTGCCTCGGGTTTTTAAGGTGCAAGCGAACCCAAAAGCTTTATTTAGCTGCAGTGCAAAAGACACAGGGAATGACAGCCCCATCTTCTAACAGAAAAGCCACACTTCAGACAGATCCGTTTCCTGCCCCAGTTCATCACCTGGAGGTAAGGACCAGGGCAAAAGGAGTGGATCAGAAAACCTAGGCTTTGCCAGTGCTTTTCATGAGCCTCTACAGGTCTGTTTCAAACGCCTCCAACAGAAAGGAGAGCAGGAAAATGCAGCTTTTCTTACCAGTTTGATCCTGTCCTCACAGCGGAGGAGGTTGATCATCACCTGGAGGTGCTGGGGCAAATCACCTGCACAGAGAGCAGAGAACTCATCAGAAAGGGTCTCTTGCTGCACTAAGAATCAGCAGAATCTTGGTATTTAAGGAAACTGTGGGGTTTGTAAAATAAAATATACCATTTAAGAGAGGCCAATGAGCTTTGCTGTCCCAGAGATACTAACAGAAGTGAGCTTCATTGATGAGGACCATCTGGCTCTGTGAGAACTTGACCTTATACTATTTGGAAGGTACCAAATATACTGAGACCATCTATGACTGGCACAAACGATGATACTTTTCCTGTTACAGCATCTCAGAGAAGACAAAGATGTGGGCACAGGGGCAGAAGAGGCAGGAGGAACAACTGATTAGGAAGTGATGGATCCCTTCTATCTCAGAGTGGTTCTCGTGCATCAAGTCCCTTAAGCTCTAGGGTGGTGGGTACATTTCTGTTTGATGAAAGCAAGCAAAGGGAACAAGGAATCTACAACAAAACAAACCCAGTTCACATCTAATAACTCAGTAATGTACTCATAACTTTCCATGCAAGATAAAATTCCTTCCGTAGGATGTTTGCTGGGTCTATGAAATCGCTGACGATTAAAGAAACCCAAAGCCAAGCTTGGCATTCAAACACCCTCTTTGTGCTTGGAGTGTTTACTAAGCAGCAGGCACACAGTACCACACTGTGCCTTTCCCACATGCTCCTGCTCCCCAAAAGCCCTGCTGATCACCTTTCTGCTTCCCCAGTGATCACTTACTCCAGACTGTCACAGACAGAAGGCTTAAAGCCACTGGGTAAGTGGAATCCACTTTCCTTATCGATCCTTGTGTACATTCACCACACAACTCCCTACCATTTCTTCCCATCAGTGTGGCACACTGGAGGGGACTGGGGGAAGGAGAGTCTGTTCTTAAACCATGACCAGTTCTTACAGGCCAGGTAGTGATAAGTTAACAGAAAAGGGGATTTTCCTGAAACCAGGAAAGGGGATATAGGGAGCTAAGAAACCTATGTCTATGCAGAGAGCCATATCCTGTTAAAACATTCCCTGCTCTTACCAGCAACACCAAACAAAACCAGCAACAGGTAGTTTCAAAAGGACAAGTGCTGGCACCGAAGTCCCAACCTTCAGATGACTGAAGGCTGGGAGAACACTTGGAGAACGTCCCTGTTGATCTGAACCAGACCTGTATTAGAGGTCCTAGAGCCCTGTGACTCTGCCCATCCCAGTTCCCTCCTCACAGGCTGAAGGGGAAGGCAAAGATCAAACCACTGAAGCACACGGGACATTCCTTCATCTATGGCTGTGGAAACCAGGGATACCTGCTCAGCACAGACACCCTGGCTCAGCAGTGAGGCAAGAAGAGGTTCAGGAGGTGTTTGAATCCACTACCTGCATGTTTGTGAGGATGCTGGAGGCTTCGCTGGCCCTGGGAGCTGTTTCCTTGTTGCAAGAAGAGGGCTGCACCTTTCACCATGAAAAAGCTCTCGCTCAGGCTGGAAAACAAACAACAGGAGTCAAGTGAAAGGAAACCCCAGCAAAAGGCACGCTCAGGTCTGTGCCTGGGGAAGGAAGGGCTTCCCCTCACTGAGCCGCAGCAGGGTTTTGCCATGAGAAGCCGTTCCCAAAGTCTGATCCTGCCACTTGCACAGCACGGCTCCAGGATTATTCATGGCTTATTCATGTGTCATCTTCCACCAACATTTTGTTACTTGGCCATGGCAGGAGATACTTGCCTGAGCTGTCATGGGCTGGAAATGACTTTATCATTTGGTTATCAAACCCCGCAACTTAAAACCAGTAAAGGGGAAGGCTTTTTACAGGCTTAGACCTGTCAAATGACTGAGCATCAGGTTCCGAGTCGATCAGTCCCTACTCATTCCAGCTCCTGAGATCTCTTTGGAATGCAAACCAAGAACATGCAACCATAAAGTGCTTGTAGATTTAAAGAGTAAGGGGGGGGGGACAATGAAACCTGCCCATCACCAGAGAAAGGAAACTGCACTGAAACCTCAGGGGGAAAACAACCACCACAAGAGCAAAGACTCTGCTTTGCTCTGGCTGGATACAACCATCCTAAAAGACAACGGATAAGGCAGGAGGCTGCAGTTATGTGCAGACACAATGGTATGTCCACAGAGTGAAATGACACAGCCCCCAGAAGGTAACTAAAGAGAAGGCCGAACCAGAGCAGCATGTTCCAGGCAGCACCAGCACAAACCTAATTACAACCATCAGGCACTTGTGAGCATTTTAGTCTTGGACTAAAAGTCAGCGTTTCCCCCGAGGCTCAACATCAGTGTCTACTGAGCTACCTTTTAGCTGCCAGAGCAACTGCTTACACTGCGCTTCCTACGCTGCTCCAGCACCACCAGGGACATTCCTCACTACAAAGCCCAATTTTCTGCCGCCCCACACTTCCAAACATAGCTCCTCATTAATTGCTGTCTGATTCGGCTCCATATAAATGCTCCATTATGTGGCTGTGCTACACAGGAGTTACTCATGCTACAGAAAACGATCCCACAGGAGTTACTGCTCCCAGCACTCATCTGTTCCGTACTTTATGCGGGGTCTCTGCCTTCGGGCAGAGCGAGCACTGATGCTCCATGCCACCGCAGGAGACAGGAATTCCGTGTCTCTTCAGCATCTGCTGTAAGCTCAGCTCTTCCCTCCTCTGAGCACAGCCGAGGTTTCAAGGCAAAGCTCCCTCATTTTCCAACTGATTCCTCAGGGAGCAAAATTCCCACTAAATCCAGACCCGGTTGAAATCTGAGATTTCAGCTGGTTCTGAAAAGCAAGCTGAAGTTTTCACCCGAGTCCCAGGCTCCACAAGTCACACATCAGGTCAACTGAATGCCAGTGGGACAACTGCACTCAAACCAAGCTCTCCTCCATGTGCACTCCCGCAGAGCATTCCAGCACTCCCCACCTGGCAAGCTGTGCCTGAACAGGAGCTGCTCCTGATCTCAAACTCCGGCTCGGCTCTGCCTGCCACACACGCTAACAGCCAGAACTCCTGCAAAGGGGAATTCTCCTCCCTCCCATAGCGAGCCAGGAAGGGTCCCGTTTCCTTCACCCCCCCAGGAAAGCGTTAAAAAAGGCCAGAAGCAACACAAAAGCAGTGACACCAACAGCACAGCTGGGGGGTTCAGCCACCAGCTTCACACACACTCACAGGGAAGGGACCGAGAACGCACAAGGAGATAATTCACAGTATTCCTGCCCCAAGGATTTTGGGAAATGCTTCTCTCAGGAAGTGAAAAAGCATCCCAAGGGATATTCTTTCACCCCTAATAAAGCACTGACTGGGATTTCTCCAGCAGGAAAACCCTTAGAAAAGACAGAGCTCCCTCCCAAAGGCATCGGCGGCTCCTGCTCCGAGCGCTCGTCTCGCCCCACGTTCTCCTCCCGCATCAGGGAATCTTCCATAATAAACCAGAAGATTCCCAGTTGCAGGCAAATGGGTCAGCTGTGCTGCAGGGGCAGAACGGGACCGCAGGGAAAGGACAAGCCACCCTGCAAAGTGCTTGTCCCGGTGCACTCCGTCGGCACGGAACTGAACCGGGAAGCAAAGCCCGAGGAAGATTTCTCTTTGCGTGCTGGCTTCCTAACCTGGGTCCCAGCTTTATGAAGCTCAGCTCCCCGTGAGCCAGCCTGCCTCTACCTCCCCAGTCTCCCCATAAGCTCCCATTCCTACACGGCCAGCACGGTGCCCAACGGAGGGAACGCACCCAAGCACCTCTTTGCCAAAGCTCCTATTTTCCATCACAGGGAAGCAGCAGCATTACCCCACAGCGAGCCTTATCTCCGCTCTGGGAACGCTCCTCACTCTCAGTCCCTTCACACAACTGCTCCAAGAGACAGCTAAATGAAATGGAAGTGAGAAACACACACGGCACAGCATCCCGACCCAGTTTAAGCCCCCTTTTAAACCCTGCACTCCCAATAAACAACCAAAACTCCAGCCTCTTTAAAAAGATCTCCTACAGAACAGCAAAATCCTCCCATTAAAGAACATCCCAACTTTTGACCCTCGGCAGCAGTGATAAATGCCCCAGTAAGCAGCATTTGTTAGCAGCAGAAAAACGAGTGGCTAATACATACTAATTCGGACTGGTTCTCTTTGAACAGCAGAAGCATTGTGCTGGCCCAAGAGTCAGACAGAAGTCAGTAAAGTTGAGAAGATTCATAACTCGCTGTAAAACTCACATCCTTTTGCTTCTAAAGCCCAAAAAGCAAAGAAAAGAAGGGAAAGAAAAGGTCGGCCGTATATTCAGTGCGGAGCAGAGCAATCGCGTCTGTTGATGCTACCCAGGAACTGGATGACTTTTACAGAACACTGTGTCTTCCACTGATATCCTGGCTTGAAAAAGCACTTGTCCTAACATCTCCTGATGAAAGAGGGCCATTCAGGAGGGGGGGAAACCAGCTGAGGCTCGTCTAATCGCTTCCCTCCTCCAGACTTTGTTTGTTTGTTTGCTTCCCAAGGCAGCACAGCGCCTATCAGTGCAGCAGCCCCTGCCTGCAGGAAGCCCCTATTCCCTGGGACAGAACTAGATAAGCATCATGTAGCCTAATGCCTCTTCATTCCTGTACAGCTAAAGCACTGCAGGGCAGCTCTGGAACACAGACATGATAAAGACTTGTTGCTTACAGACCCTGACTAGTTCTTTCTCCAGGCACAAACCAGAATGGCACGTACGCCTTTCACCATCACCACAAGCCTGACCAGGGGCAGAAGCAGCTCTCTGTTCCATTCCTACCCAGCCTCACTGGCACAGGATCCACGGCCACCCATCCCCTGGATGCCAGGAATCCTGACCAGCACAGCTGCGTTACAGGAGTCACTTCAGGCTCTTGAATAAATGCAGAGCCCACAGGTTTTGTCACAGCCCCAAGGCCAGGTTGGACACAGGGGCTTGGAGCAAGCTGCTCTAGTGGAAGGTGTCCCTGCCCATGGCTGGGCTTGGAGCTGGATGAGCTTTAAGGTCCCTTCCAACCCATAGTGGTGGGAAGAAGAAGGTGCTTAATGGCCACAGCCCCTCTGTGAGCAGGCTCCTGTGTCTCTTGCTTCACCGACCCTTGCTCCATCCGCTGGCTCCGTGCTGCTCAACTTGAAAAGGAAATATTTCTTCCCCTTTGGGAAAGCTCCAGAAGAGCGTGGCTGCAACACACATCAATTACATGTCGAGTTGCTCAAGCACACAATAGGCAGTGCCTTGTCAGCGTTACAAAACGCTGCCCCCCGGGTCCACAAATGCCAGTAAGGATTCTGTTGAATATACTGGATTTTGGAACAGAGCTGCTCGTGTTAGGGGATGGAACAGAGCGAGCTGGACCAGCTGCCACTCACAGGGCTCCCTAAGCTTTGCCTTGCCCTTGGGGCTCAGGTTGTGGTGTGCTCCTCAAAGAAACCTTGACTGCCTCAGGTCCTCGAGTTCCCTGTTTTAATGGGAATCTCATGTAAGACATAATCCTGTTGCAGGATACAAGAGAACACTCTATTAATACATCTTACACAACTCGTCTCAAACTAAATATCCATACACAGAAGTCAGAAGGGAGAAAACCACTTTCCCCGGAAGACACAGCCAAGCCTGAGGTTGATTCAGCAGCCTCTTGCCAGTCCAAGGATTAAAAACTAGTGTCTAGCTAAAAGAGGCAGAACGTAGGAATGTCAGTCTGTGCCTGGCTGGGTATCCCTGCTGATCCCAGCACAGCCCCAGCATCCCCCCGTACATGGATGCCCAACGAGCCTGGGTTATCCCCACACCTCCAGTGACCCCTGGGGTTTCTGGAGCCATAATGAACTTGTTATCTCTGTGTTTGCTGCTGATCACGGCCAAGCAGCCTGCTTAGTGCAAGTGCTGCTCAGATCTGCTCGCTCCCAGCTCATGTTTTAGTGCTGAGCTCATGTAGTGAACAAGCGCATCCGCTCTGCCTGGCTTTGCTTTGTGCTCTCCTCGGGGACCCTCACTCCAGCCAGTGCGGGTCGAGGGCAGGGAGCTCTGGGAGCAGAGAGGGGAGCTCCCCTCGGATGCTCCCACAGGCCCTTGACGTGCCAAAGGGTGGATCCTGAAACAGGGCACACTGAAACAGCAACAAAACTAAGCTGGACAGGAGCACATCAAAGAGAAAGGAAGATGCAGGCAGGGCAGCAGCAGGAAGACAAGGAGCAGCTGCTCCCTGCTTCCCAAGCCACGCTGACAATTAAAGCACGCTGGCTGCTTGCTTTGGCTTGATAGGAGGAACATCAGATAACACTTCCTGACCAAGAGAGGGGCCTTCAGGAGGAGCCTGAGCAACACAAAACAGCGCCAGGGAACAAAATGAACTTCAAAGCGAGTGGCTGACATGCTACTGTTCAACCTGAGAAACAGCCACAGGAGCTGCAGCAGCAGCAAGTCCTTTCTCATGCTGTTTAAAATAGCACTTTTGGTGTTTCCAAGCGGCCTTTGCTCTGTGTCACACACCGGTCAAGCAGAGTCCAGTGCCACGGAGACACCAAATGAAACACAAAGGAATCACCTTCACAAACACAGCCGCAAGCATCACCACAACCATCCCAGCTTAACATGGAGTGGGGCTATGCAGCAGGAGCAGGGAAGGACCAGTTCCATATCATACCTGCCCATTGCAAGGGGGCTGGAACTGGATGATCTTAAGGTCCTTTCCAACCCTACCTATTCTATAATTCTATGTATCATGGAGTGGTTTGTGTTGGAAAGGACCTTAAAGCTCCTCCAGCTCCAACCCTGCCACGGGCAGGGACCCCTTCCACTGGAGCAGCTTGCTCCAAGCCCCTGTGTCCAACCTGGCCTTGAGCACTGCCAGGGATGGGGCAGCCACAGCTTCTCTGGGCACCCTGTCCAACACTTGAAATGTGGTTTTAAACCAAAGCCCTATTGCACACATGCATAGACTGTGTGGTATGCTGAGAACCTGACCTGAGATCAGAACTGCAGGTGTCCAACAAGGAGGTTAGGCAGCATCCCATGCTCACAGGGGATCTTGTAATGCCTCCCCACAGGGGCAAGCATCTTCCCATCCATTTCCAAGGCAGTCAGGCAGGCAGCAAGAGCCAGGGCAGGCTTTGCTCTCCTGTTCTTAGCAGTGCAGCAACAAAAGGGGGGTCTGAGCGTGTATTGTTCAGCTGCAAGGCGTGGGCCACATCCACAGTGCAGGAATGCTAAGAGGGGCTGGAGACACTGCTGGCCATTCACAGCACAAGATACAAACCCTCCTCCAGCACAAAGGGGAGAAAGATAAAGCTGAAATCAATCATGAAGCCCACAAAAGCTGATTTCCCAATGGAGATGGACTGGTGGTGAAGTGCCTCCAGTACCGGGTGAGTATCACGCTGGGCTTGAGCAGGGATCACCCAGCTCCACATGGAGCCCAACCAGGGCAGCACACAGCTCTGAGGGCAGAGCATGGATAAACCAGCCAAGAGAAGGAAGAGGGAAGCAGACAAATTATCAGGATTGGTGCCCATTCCAGCACAAATCAGTGAGCGGGAGAGCTCCCAAACAGCCAGGAAAATTCCAGGAATCCCTAGGCCTGGGGCGGTGAAGAGCCAAATAAAATAAAGAGATTGTTTCACAGGGAAAAAGGAATCCTTTTTGCTCATCCCTTTGATCGCAGAGTTCAAAAAGGCACGGGGCTGATCATGGCATCATCCAGCTACGTGATGGGCTTGGAATGAACGGCTGGAACCACAGAGAGCGTTCCTGAGATTCCCAGTGATGGCATTTTGGTGACAGCCACTGTCTCTAGAGGCTGAGGCCTGATCCTCTCCAAACCTCAACCTACCCATTGAGCTGCTAAAAAGAAACTTCTCTCTCTTGCTTAGGAAAGGAGAAATAACTCTTCAGAGCCTCCTGGCAGCCCTGTCCCCAGCACCCTGGTGGGCTGAGGGAAGCAGGCTATTCCCAGAACACTGCCTCCCTTCTTCCCCCACCCTACAAGCCACCCTGTGTTCTCCTACACGTCCCGTTTGGGGATGATGCTGTTGCCACGTTACTGCCATAGCTGTTCTGTGACCGCAGGTAGGGAGAGGACAGACCGCAAGCCCAGGAGTGCCAGGGAGGTGTCAGGAGCTCCCATCTCCTCCCCAGCCGAGCTGTCAGCACGTGGGCCGATCCTCCTGCATTCCTCCTGTCAGCTCATTGTTATAATCCATTAAACCATTTCATTAAGTCACCCCACTTCCCCCCCCTCAGTGGTGTCTCTCAGAGAAACAAGTGGAAACTCTCCCCCGGCGCCACTGGAGAAGAAAAGGAAGGTGAATGATAGCTTCAAGGATGGAGAAAGCAGCTTCTAAGCGGCGCACACGAAGGTCAGCCAGGACAGAGGCAACAGCATGGGAAGCACAGCTGAGAATCCTACAGGCAGCGGTGGCACAGCAACCCAAGAAACAGCTCTGCTGCTGGCTTTCAGAATGACTCCAAAAAAGGCAGCACAGACCAGGCAGCACTTGACACGTTGGTATTGTGGAAAAAGAAAGTCAAATCCAGACGGATCATGTGGGGTAAAAGCAGAGTGAGAACAGTTCCAGCTCAACCCAGACACCACCTCCAGTGTTCAGCTAGACCATAGCCTGCCTTGGCTCCCCAAGGGGCTCCAGCCAGCACAAAGGCAAAGGTACACCCCAGCAAGGGTGTAGGAGACCACCAGCCAGGGGAAAAGCTGGCTTAAGATGGAAAAGAATCATAACATCACAGAATCATAGAGTCAGAATCGTTGGTAAAAACCCCAGGATTATCCCTCTTTACCTCCTCCACTCCAAACCCATCTTTTACAGGCAGCATCAGTATTGCAGAGAGAACACCTGTAGCCCAAAACGCTCTGCAGGGCTGGAGGGAGATGCCCACACGCAGGCAGGCTGTGAGCAGGCGCACAGGCAGCGGTCCCCACAGGGATGGGAGTGTTGGACGTGACCATTTGGATGGCAGACAGAGCAAACAGGCAACCTGGCAGCCTTCTGGAACAGCTGAAAGGGACCTTTCGTCCCCTTTCCTGCATTCCTGGATGCTTTGGCCTCTGCTGCTCAGCCCCAGAGGTTTTCTGCCCAGCAGCACACCACGGACCCCCCGGCAGCCACCCTCACTGGTGGCTCCTGCAGCAAGGGCTGCGTCAAGAAGCACTGGTGAGCTAGAGTAGGTTTGGTGAGTCCCTCTGCATAAGGTCTCTGTGCTGGTGAGCATGAGGCACAGACTCCGGGCCCTACAAGTGTTAGGTCAGTGCTGGGGAGTGTTTGGTGCAATGGGCACTACCTTGACATACCAACAGCAAGAACCAGCTGAGGTGGGTATGGACACACAGCACATCAGCTGCTCAGATGGTTCCGTGTGTGCTCCTGCTCCTGTCCCAGGAAGGACGCAGGGAAACCTACCTCTCCTGTGGGAAAAGAGAAACCTTTGCACTGGC